CCAGCCCCATCCAGGAGCCATTCAGGAGCCCACCCAGAGCCACCTCGGTAGAACAAAAGACTCTCCTAGTGCTCTTAGCACTTAGGAAACTACAAGGATTTGGGGAGCTCTGTGCCAGGAACCAGGGGCAGAGACCAATATATATATATATTTCTCTATTATCTCACAGGGGCCTTAGTAAAAGGTGACAGCCCTCTTAGGTACTTGAATTAGGGGTTCCCTTTGACACTTGGAGGAATCAATTTAGAAACAACATAGAGACTGTTAACAGGGTACCTGGGTGGCTCAGTCAGTTAAGCCACTGGCTCTTGATTTCAGCTTGGGTCAGGATCTCAGGGTCATGGGATCAAGCCCTGAGTTGAGCTCTGTGCTGAGAGTGGAGCCTGTTTAAGATTCTCTCCTTCTCAATGACAGATGTTGGCGGGGATGCGGAGAAAGGGGAACCCTCCTACACTGTTGGTGGGAATGCAAGCTGGTGCAACCACTCTGGAAAACAGTATGGAGGTTCCTCAAAAAGTTGAAAATAGAGCTACCATACAATCCAGCAATTGCACTACTGGGTATTTACCCCAAAGATACCAATGTAGGGATCTGAAGGGGTATGTGTACCCCGATGTTTTTAGCAGCAATGTCCACAATAGCCAAACTGTGGAAAGAGCCAAGATGTCCATCGACAGATGAATGGATAAAGAAGATGTGGTATATATATATATATATATATATATATATATATAATGGAATATTATGCAGCCATCAAAAGGAATGAGATCTTGCCATTTGTAATGACGTGGATGGAACTGGAGGGTGTTATGCTGAGTGAAATAAGTCAATCAGAGAAAGACCGGTATCATATGACCTCTGAGGGTTGCTGGAGTGGGAGTGGGGTGGGAGGGATGGGGTGGCTGGGTGATAGATATTGAGGAGGGTATGTGCTATGGTGAGTGCTGTGAATTGTACAAGACTGATTAATCACAGATCTGTACTTCTGAAACAAATCATGCAATATATGTTAAGGAAAAAAAAGAAGAAGAAGATAGCAGGAGGGGAAGAATGAAGGGGAGTAAGTCGGAGGGGGAGACGAACCATTAGAGACGATGGACTCTGAAAAACAAACTGAGGGTTCTAGAGGGGAGGGGGGTGGGGGGATGGGTTAGCCTGGTGATGGGTATTAAAGAGGGCACATTCTGCATGGAGCACTGGGTGTTATAGGCAAACAATGAATCATGGAACACTACATCAAAAACTAATGATGTAATGTATGGTGATTAACATAACAATAAAAAATTATTTTAAAAAACTAATGATGTAATGCATGGTGATTAACAAAACAATAAAAATTATTTTAAAAAACTAATGATGTAATGTATGGTGATTAACATAACAATAAAAAATTATTTAAAAAACTAATGATGTAATGTATGGTGATTAACATAACAATAAAAATTTAAAGAAAAGAAAACATTCTCTCCTTCTCCCTCTACCCCTCCCCCTCCTCTCCCCTCACATGTGTGCACTCTATCTCTCTCTTTTTATAAAACAACCAAACAAACAAATAAATAATAAATTGTTACCTTATGCACTGGATGGTCAACAATTTGCAATTTATTACTCTAAGTGGCCATACTAAAAATGTAGTTGTCAAGAAGAAACAAACTGAAGACATCAAATAAGGGCCATACCCTTCAATGCTAAAATTTGTCCAAATGATTTAGATGAAGTTGTGGGTAGGAACTTGCAAAATGATCTAGAATATTCTGAGAACATCCTTAACCTTTGAGGTTGACAACTGGTCAGATAGCTATGCCCTTTGATATAACATTCTTTAACGTCCTAATCAATGATATAACTTGGAGCCTAACGATCCAGGAAGTCATCTCTGGCATTCTAAACTCCATTCGCTTCACAAATACTTATTGAATACCTATTCTGTGCCAGGCACTGGGCTGGGTGCCAGGGATACAGCGGTGACTCAATCAGATCCAGGTCCTGCCCTCAACCTGCAGAAAGGTGAAGGATACAAATAACAAAATTATCATACAACGTGATAGGTGGGGAGATCCAGGATGCTTTGGGAGTCCCAACGGAGGTTCCTGGCCAAGCTTAGGGGAACCTGGAAGTCTTTTGGGAATGGCTGACTTCTAATCTGGGACCTAGAGGATGAATAGAGCTAACCAAGTAAAATCGTCAAAGGATAGAGATGGGGTGACCGGTGGAGGGGGCAGTAGGGAGATTGAATTCCAAGCAGAAGAAACAGCATATGCAAAGGACAGGAATCCATTGACAGAATGAGACACACAAAAAACAAAAGTAGCCTGGAACAGCTGTGAGGTCAACAGCAAAATGTGGAGAGGCGGGGCTTAAGAGAGATGAGGCTGGAGAGGCAGGTAGGGGTCAGACGGTGAAAATTCTTACAGTGTTCCAGTATGTGAAATTTAGCGTGAAGGCAGAACCCTAACCAAATCACAAAGCGCCTTTTGGAGGGTAGAGTTCAGGTTGGAATCTGTCCCCAAACGCCCTCTGAAGGCCTACAGAGGGAAAATATGCAATGTACACAAACTATCCAAGCCAAATGGACTCAAATGCAAAAACGTTCATATTCTTTTGAGGGCCAGTGCCCAGACAGGCACAGATGTATGTCCCTGCATCGGGCTGTGTTTCTAAGAACAAAGTAGTAAAGTGCTTGAGGGTATATGAGCTGTGGGGTCAAAGACACCCCAGGTTTCAAAGGCTGGCTCTGCAAATTAACAGCTTCCTGACTTTGGGAGTATTACCTCATGTCCTTGGGCCTCAGTTTCCTCATCTGCAAAACCAGGATAACCACCCCCACACACCTCCAGGACTGCTGCAAGGATAAATGAAATAACAAATGTAACACTTTTAACACAGTGCCTGGCACATATGTGCTCAATATAGGGTCTTTTATTTTTAAAATGTATGTTGTCCCGGACTGTGGGTGCTAAATCTGGTCATGAGCCCATGAGATTCGGTAAACAGGCAGAGAGTCCAAAATGGTAGCTATAGAGTCCTGTCCAATCCCGCCTCATATGCGGGCCCTTATTTCCAGTCCTAAACTGTAGATTGGAGTGACCTGCATTGAAATTCTCTGTGCTCAACGCCCGGTACCTGACTTCCCCGGAAGGAGAGCCTTCCTGGGAGAAGTCACCTGGGACCCCGATGCAGCGCAGGACAGCAGGACAAGCCCATCCAAGCTTGATGGGCTCTAGGGGACCTCCAGCTGGGGCTCCAGAGAATGTTACTATAACCTCAACAGCGAGCTAATGAATCTTCCTGAGAGCTGGCGGGAAGGGGGAGGGCATGGTGTGTGTGTCAGTTCCTAGAGCTGTTGTAACAAATTACTACAGACTCAGTGGCTTAACACAACAGAAATGCCTTCTCTCCTAGTTCTGGAGTCGGCAAGTCTGAAATCAAGGTTAGGCAGGGCCACGCCCTCTCGGAAGGCTGGAGGGGAGAATCCTTCCTTGCCTGTTGGAGCTTCTGTGGCTCCAGGCATCCCTTGGCTCGTGGCAGCCTTGTCTGCCTCTATCTTCCCTGGGCCTACTCTTCCCCTCTTCCGGTGTCTCCCTTTCCTCTCTCTTGTATGAGGACGCTTATGCTTGGGTTTAGGGCCCACCTGGATAATATCCGGCGATCTAATCTCAAGATTTTTGACTTCATGACAGCTGGAAAGAGGCGACATAAAGTCATGTTCACGGGTTCCAGAGAATAGTACGTGGACCTATCTTGCGAAGAGCTGCCATTCAACCCACTACAGTGGGCCTGAAGGGTGGGTCCCAACTCCCATAGGCTTCTGTTCACTGGTGGCTGTTTACCCCCAGAGGGACGCGAGGGTGTCCCGGCAGAGACAGAGCTACAGAGCCTTGTTGCTTCCATCACTCCGCTTCCCAGAGCCTCCCCTTGTCCAGCCCCCATGGTGCTCATCCTCCTGCCCCTCCTCTTTGCAAGAAGTGCCTTGCCGTGGGGTGTGGAGATGTCCATTGCCCCCAGGGTCCCTGGCTGTTCCTCCTGAAATAGCAGAGGCTACCTGGCTCTGGACAAACGGACAAACGTGCATCATTTCAAGAAGCCATCCGAAGACAGATACCTTTCTTTCCCCAAAGCCATTCTCTCCTAGAAGGGCAGACAAGGGTCTCCTTATTTGTGGGGATGAGAAAGATACAAACGAGGAAATATTAATTCAAGCAAAAGGTTCATTCTTTCTTTTTTATGTACAAATTATGCAACATAATTGTTTTACAGTGATTAATATTATTTCAGGGGCCTACCAAACAGCATTTACAATGCAAATCTCCAGGCTGCAGAAAGGTAATCAGGAGGAGAGTGGAGGCTGCTCAGCCGCTGTGAGGCTGGGATGGAACGAGTGAGAAAGGGTCACACGGCCTTCGAACACAGTGTCCAAAGCCAGACGTGTGTGTGGTGGCTTCTCCCTCTCCCCTCCCAGCAAGGGCTTCAGAAACACTTTCCAGATCTGCTGAGCATGCCTTCTGAGCAATATGGCAATGTCTCTACTTCTACTCTCCCTTCCTGAGGTTTCCCTTTAAAAAGTCACATGCTTTCACTCCTAACCAAGAGAAAGGCACATGACTAGGTGGTGGGAAGATGGGATATTGGAAAATAACAACATGGGGAAATGTGTCAAAAATACCCATCTGTTCTAATCCATCCCATCATTAATAACCTCGCCTCCCCCCATCGAGGCAGAAAAAGCAGGAGGCCTCCCACTGTGCTGTACCCTCCCCCCCATCAGCCAATGCCATCACAGTCACCCGCTTGCTCGTGTGATCTCATGCTTTGATGTCCTTTGATTCCTTAAACGTGTGATTAGCACACACTTTGCACCACACGGCCAGTTTGAGTCGCCGTTCACCAGTGAGAGCCCCCCCCAAGCCTGGACACCTAAGTGCCCTTCTGAGCTGGTTGCTCCATCTCGCTCCACTTCCCTGCACAGAGGAGCTCCTGGTGCAGGGTGAAAAGCCACCTACCACAGCCTCTGCTCAAAGCGCACAAAACACATCCCAGGGAAACCTCCGCTGTCACTCTGGGATACGATTTCTCCCGATAGCGTTGCTTCCAACGTCCTACGTTAGAAATGGATAAATTCAATAAGTGTGAAATTTTCTAGAGAGGAAAAAAAAAACATTATAGTATGGCATATACATTGCTGAATCGTTAATTTGTTAGAGCAACAATATCACGGCAATGTTGCAACTGGTTTCCTTAGTAACGTGTTCAAGTATATGGGAAAACATTTTGGGGTAATAAAATGTTCCCATTTGAATTTGGAATAAACTTTCACATGAGGTAAGGCAGTGATATTCTAAAAATAACAGCTTAAGCAATCAATTAACTTATTCAGTTATTCCATGCAACTTTAAAGTATGCAAATATCATGCTTACTGGAAATGTGACAGGTTACCAGAATTATGTCTGACTGTGCTGGTCAGTTAAATTTTGAAGAATTATTTGGACATTTTTTTCCTGTTTAACACTCAGCAATGTATAGAAACAGCTCACCTGGGTATTCTGAAATGAAGAGAGCTTATTCTTAAGGGTCCAATAATAAAAAATAGATTACCTCCCTGGTGCTGGAATTCAGCAGCCCGGATTTCCAAATCATATTTTCTAGGGCAATGGTTTTCCAACTTTACCATGCATCAGAATCCCCTGGAGGGCTTGTTAAAACAGATTGCTGGGCCCTGCCAGAGTATCTGATTGAGTAGCATTGAGATGGGACCTGAGAATCTGCGTTTCTCACAAGTTCCCAAGAAGTGCTGATGCCTCATGGTTCCTTGAGAACCGTGTTCTAGGGGAAACCTAAAACTGATCCCCTCTGGTCCTGAACAACGAAATATATACCCAAATGACAGAAAGGTGATTTTCATATCACTCTGAGACCATCTGAATCCTAAAAGCAACGTCACAGCCCGAGCCTCTCTTTTCTTATACATCACTTATAAAAATCTTAAGGAGAAAGGTCCATTCTTCTGAAAACAGAGAAACGTAGATGGACCCAGAGGCTTCATATTTTGAAGAGGATAGTCAGGAGCTGGGCCCCTCCTGGGAGTGGCCAACATCACACGGTGCAGAGCAGGGACCCTGTTTGTAATCACCTCCATTCCCGGGGCTTAGCAGCCAGCCAGACATGGAGCAGAAGCTCCGCAATGGTGGGCCAGATGTGCGTCCATTCCTGAGTTAAGGCTACAGTCAGCAAGGACCTTGGTTTTGTTATGGATTTTACTAAATGTATTCGCAAAGTCATTGGTGACGGGAAAATGCTTAAATCACAGTCCTCGCCCTTTTGCTCCTGATATGATAATCCAGGTCTCCAGGTGGACAGTCAGCTTATAAAATGGAAAGTGCCCTGGGCTGGAGTCAGGACATCTCGCTTCTGGTCCTGAATTTGTCCCGACTTGCCACTGACCTTGGGCTTTCCTCCACCTCCACGAGGGTCAGATCAGTATTCTCTGAAAATGCCTTCCAGTTCTGGTAATGCGGGAGTCAACCTTGATCCTACACTTGTTCTTTGTTTTGGTTTGGGTTTTCTTCTCTGTACCACATCAATTTCAGTGTGGGGTAAAGGAGATGCCCAAATACTGTTTTGTATCTTGTGGAGGATCGCTTCCCACAGCTAATTTCTCAATTTCAGTTTCCTTCCTCCAGAAGCTCGCTGTGTCCACATTTCAATTAATTGCCTATTGGCACACACCCGACTCCAAATATTTGTGCAGTTCCCGAGAAAGCCTCATTCAGCTAAGTACCTGATCGCATCAACCTGCTCTCTGGTTCCAACATCTCAGAATATCCAAGTGAGGAAATATGCAAATGCCAAAGTCACCCAGAGAGAATTCATCAGGGGAGGCAGTCATTGGAGGCAGGGAGAGAAGCTCAAATGAAAGATATTATCGCTTGCTGGAGATGAAGGAAATTGGGGTGGGGGAAGGGAGGAAGTGGAGAATCTGAAGACTGGAAGTGCTCACACCTCACGGCACAGGATGCTGTTTCTCCAGAGAAGGGCTGAGCAGATCAGCTGAGTTACAAATATGCCATGGAGGCACTTGCTGGGAGGCAGGCTTGTCCTCGAAGCCACAGAAACGGGAGTATTATTAGAGAGACTACCCCAAGTCTCTGTGCCAAATAAATTCAGCCCTCCTACTTGCTGACAAACTCCTACCATTAGAATCACTCTTCAGTGTGTTTTATAACCCTGCAAAATGGCTGGGATATAGCACTCACTAACAAAAGTGGTATGCAAAATATCAACACAGGATCTCCAGTGCACAGATAAAAGAGACAGGACAATAGGCCAATGCTGGCTTGCTGAGGTGCTGAAGATAATCAACAAGTCGGTCCCCTACTTATATAGGCTTTCACTTTCCAAGTTTTCTACCATTGGTAATTACTGCTCTCCTGCTTTTAAGGTTAAGAAAAAAAGAAAACATTTTAAAAGTTGTTAACAAAAAGGAGGCTTTGAAGGTAAGTCGCTGACTTCAAAACCTGGTAGCATGCAAATCTACTGCCTAAAAAAGACTGTCCTTTATTAGTTCTGCATAGTTTGGTTTGTCATCTTGGTGACTCTTCGTCCTCGAAAGCTGATCGGGGGCCAAGAATCGTGTTTCATTCATCTTGCACCCAGTGGGCTTGGTACTGATCTAGGCACTGGATGGGCATCGAGTGTGGACTGAATTGTACCAAAAAGAGAGGAGCCCACAGATCTCAGAAGAAATGGAACCCAGGATGAGCTTTGAAAGAACAAGGGTGATTTGGAAAGGCTGGAGCAGAGTAAGCCCCAGGGGATGAGGTACTAGGGGGGTCCCAGTGGAGAAGAAAAGAGCAGGAGGGTTTTAAGCACAGGCCTGGGGAGGGGAGCAGAGTCAAAAGAGGGTTGGGGGGGACCACCAGGGCCTTAGCCCCCTCCCTGCACAATTTCACCACCAGCCAGCCCCGTCTTACGGCATAATAGCTCAATGGCTTTCGCCCTTCTTCTGTTGAGATCTGGTTTGGAAGTCACTCCATTCATAGAGACGCCAAAAGCCAACTGGAAGTTAGGAAGTGAAGGAAAACATGCAAAGCTTGTTCAAAGTGAGCTGGGTCTGCCCCACCTGGACCTATGACATGGCGCTGAGTGCTTTAAGAAATCTCCAGGGAAATGCCAGTCGCTTCAACGTGTGAGTAGGATCCCACAGCAAGACTCGGGTGTGTGAGGAAGAAATAGGAGGCATGGCCAGGAAATCGAAGGAACAGAATGGCAGAAGGACTTTGACAAAACATAGTGACACCCTGTAGTCGGGTTAATTGTCACCACACACGTACCCCAGGGAAAGGACTTATGTCAAGTAAATGGAAAAAAAAATATTTCCTTGATTTTTTTCATTTGGGACAAGCTGCTTATGCATAAAATTATACCTGCTCATTTAATAAATATTTACTGAGTGCCTACCATGTGTTAGGAGCTGGAAATTGGTCATGAATAAAGCAGGACTCCCTGCCCTTGTGGAATACATGAGCTAGAAGGAGCATTTACTCTCCAGCTCAGCAGTTGCGGTTTACCGTTGAAGAGATCACAGCCCACTACAGGGAGGCGATATCACCAAGAACTAGTGCACCTTCCATTTCTTTTACCAGGAGGTTTTACACCTCGTGACTTCTCGGGGTTTTCTCTCCCTACCTGCAAAGCTCTTTTTTTGTTTTTTTAAAGATAATTTATTTATTTATTTATTTATTTGACAGAGAGAGACACAGCAAGAGAGGGAACATAAAAGCAGGGGGAGTGGGAGAGGGAAAAGCAGGCTTCCCGCCGAGCAGGGAGCCTGATGTAGGGCTCGATCCCAGGACCCTGGGATCACGACCTGAGCTGAAGGCAGACGCTCAACGACTGCCTACCTGCGAAGCTCTTGCCCTTCTCCACTGACGAAAATTCTCTTTTCCCTCGAGGGCTTGTTGAAATGTCATCTAGGCTCTACAACGCTCTCTCTATGCCTTCCTTTGGGTTCCTGTTGCCCTGCCCACCTCTACTACAACATTTGTCACAGCCTGCTTTGAACTTTAGTGAGTATACATCTGTCCCCGCCACTCGATTCTGAGCCCCCCGAAAGCAGAGATGACCTCCCATTCATCACCATATTCTCAGCACCAGCACTGCTGGAGGGAGTAACATTTATGGAGGAGTCACCCAAACCTGGAAACTGTGGCAAATACTTTATACACACTGTCACATGTAATCCCCACCAATCTCTCTGAGGAGGATATTACTTTGATTTAAAGACGAGGAAACAGAGGCTCAGAGAGGTCAAATAACTTGCTCAAAGTCACACAGCTGAGGGAAGAAGCCGAAATTCAGCCCGTCCTACCTAGCTCTGAAGTCCATGCTCTCCTCATGATAGACTGCCGGCTCTGTAAGCTCCATGAGGTCAAAGACTATGCCTGTCCTCTCTGTAGCACCCGGCACAGGGTTTAACACTGTGGTGTCCTGCTGGTCACACAGAACAACCCTGAGTCAGTGTGGGAGAGGACTACACAAAAGCATGACTACTAGGAGGCAGCGGGGGGGTTGGATGGTGACTGGGGTCGTCATGGAGGCTGCCTACCAACAGAAGGCATCATGTGGAGATACTCTCGGGTACCACTTAAACAGTTCGGCTGTTATAACAATCTTAGCATGTTCAAGGGCAGACATCAGAGTGAACACACAGTACCCTTAAAACAAAAAACAAAACAAACATAAAGTGAGCCCTAATACGACAACGATATAATTTCCTGGAGATGCAGTATAAAGCAGAACCATAGAGGGCAAGCAATAAAGCCAGGTAGGGGCTGGGAAAATGACAATGTGCCCAAGATCCAGGGAAGAGCAAGGTTGGGGATCCTGGGACTATTGCAGTAGCAGAGTGTGCAGAGGCACCCTTAGGGGAAGCCTGGCACACAGCACAGGGCTGCGTGCGGCTCCTAAGAAGAGTCTCACTGGTTCGAACAACAATTTCACTTCCTAATTCCTGAGCCAAATCTCCTAGGGGACTGTTTTTCCTTCTAGCTCACCTCCAGCTCCCATTCCCCACTTCTTCCCAGCCCCCGCCCCCTGGCTTTGCCTCCAGTGCAAACACCGGATCAAGGTTTTTCCGAAGCTCCAGCGTAAACCAGAGAAGGCTCAGTGGGTCCACATTTTCATGTCTTTCATCTAAGGCCAGTCAAGAATTGACCACATGGAGAACATTTCTGGGAGATCAGTAAAAACGCTGAGATTCTTTCCCACTGGGCCCCTTCGGTATTTTTTTGGAAATCTACCTCCCCAAGTACCTGCTTTCTTTCATTGTGAGCTGAGAGCTACACGACATGTGGGATTCCTCCGTGCACTGCCTTCGGAGACTCTCAGACCTCAATCCAATGCTTGTGTCACACCCAAGGTTGGAAGTTCCTTACAGGGCACAGGAGGGCATGCTTCTCCTCCAGCGCCTGCAGGGCCCAGCCTGGTGCTTAGAAAGGGACCCGTGAAGGTTTGTGGAAGCTCAACGTTCAAGCACAGTGCCCCCACCTACACCCCCAAGATTTCCAACTTTCCTTTTAATTTATTTTTAAATAGGTTTCAGAATTCTTTTTTTTTCCCCAAGATTTTATTTATTTGAGAGAGAGAGGGAGAGAGCACAAGCAAGGGGAGAAGCAGAGGCACAGGGAGAAGCAGGCTTCCCACTGAGCAGGGAGCCCGATACGGGATTCGATCCCAGGACCCCGGGATCATGACCTGAGCCGAAGGCAGACGCTTAACCGACTGAGCCACCCAGGCGCCCCTCCTTTTAAATTTTTTAAAAAACTGTCTTATGAGATCTGTGTTTTTAGTGGGACCTACCTCAAATCCTTTTTGTAGGCAGGCAGGGAATAAATGAATAAATAAACAAATGAAAAACGGACTCCCTCCTGCCTTGGGGTTACTTGTGTAGGGCTTTGTCAGCTCCGCTCCAGAAAATCCACCCTAACAGAGACTGAGCTAAGGAACAACAGTTTGGGAGCTCAGCAGGTTCCTGGTTTTTTTTTTTTTTTTTTTTTTTAAACCTAGATAAGCCTGGGTGCCTCCAGTAAATTCCCCTTTGATTGGTATGTTTCATCAGTTGAACTCTAATTGGTGCAAACAGGTAATTTGGAGATTACAAGATTTATTCTTCTATAACAGTGATTACTGATTGCTAATGATAGTGCTGATTTTTAGGTGTTTAAAACCTTGACAGTTACAATACTCGTGTGATTTACTGCAGCGTCTTAGAGACAGCCTCCTCTGGATCCCTGAGGACAGAGGCTGTGTCCTCCATGAGCTCTGCCCAGGGCCCCATGGGCGTGTGTGTGTGTGTGTGTGTGTGTGTGTGTGTGTGTGTGTGTGTG